TGTAATTATATTACATAATTTAATATTGTTAAAATAACTTTTGGTAGAAGTTACACAGGAGTCAGTACAATGCATAAACGCAGTTCTTGAAGGATTAAGCTCCATGTGGAACACAAAGGAATCTATCATTCATTAATTATAAGATTCTCACCGGCTGCACCGTAATCGCCACAGAAAACACGCAAATTGCGAATTCCTTCGTGTCTGATATGAAACTAAAGTTGGAGTATGTCCTAAGAGCAAGTGTTATGCTTAGAATGCGACTTTTAGACTACGGATTTTTATTCAAATTCATATTTTTGAGAATATGATTAAATGAAAGCATCTTGGCGTGAAATTGGTCTAAGTACCAAATATTATAAAAATCGCTATACTCTGGATATTTCATGTGCATTCTATGCAATTTTGCATCTTTAAAATTTCTTACGAATGTATAAAGATTCATAGTCCAGCGATTACTATATGATCAACAGAATAGATTCTTCGATTCTTTTAGTGATGAAACTGGAATTTTGGAATTAACAGGTTCTGTGTTGTTTAGTTCATTGATGGTTTTATGAAAAGTAGAATTTTTATTAAGAAAATATTAATTCTTAAAGATCCACCGAATTTTAAGAAACTATGTGAAAAAGAATAATCTTCAAAGCTTATTCTACTAGATTGATAAAAAGGGCAAAGTTCTTCTAAGGAATAAAACTTACAAAAACTTCAACTATGAAAATATACTGCGAAACTCGGAATTTTTTTTCATAAATATATTTAAGAAAAAACCTAAGCGAACCTTAGCCTACGAAACCTAACCTAAATCTTTTTCTCACCTTTTCTCTTGTATGTTTTGGCAATTCTAAATTTTCCTGTAAAGATTCTAGCAGTTCTAGTAATATCATTTTCAACAAATCTCAAGAAATCAATGAATGAAATCTTGCGACGATAAAACAGAAAATATAAAAATTGCACACTCTTTATTTCTGCGTGACTCGTTAATAAGTCGTCACTGACTAGAATTACAAATGTCAAGGACTTCCAGAAACTGATAGGAACAACTTGTTACCATTTGCGTGAAGAATATTCTATATAATCACTATAGACACGATGTAACTTTACTCTACTTTGCTTCAAAACGTCACAGTACATTCAATTTTCATCCAACATAGAACATGTTAATATTCTCTAGAATTTTTAGTCTATTTCAACCAAGTCAAAGAGTTCCGTTCGATTTTCATTTTCGCTTTGAACCTCTGATCAAAACTCCCAAAGAAACTAAACATCCACGTCACAAATATCGTGATCGGCTATTGAATGTTTCACTAACGTTATTCTCGTTGAACGAACAATACCGCACGCGAGCGTTCGTAGCGATACAAACTGTTACAAGCGTAACGTAAGAAAGAGGATATCCGGTTGTATTTTACTTCGACGATAAGGAGAACGTAAAATAGTTGTGCAACTATTCGCAGGCAATACAGTACAGTAGTAGTTGCGATTTATTTATCATAGTTTATTGTCGACAATAAACATACTCGTACTTTGTATATTTTGTAGATTTATCGTGTTCTTATCGGTTTCCTTTTTTTTTTTTTT